ATATATGATTTTGAATCAATTTCAGAAGACACAGATTTACACCTTTTTTTATGATTAAAAAATGACTGTCTTGAAGCATATGACTTCATGCATACCTCGCACGTTCTTGGATATTTATTTTCTATTTCATCATTCTTTATGGTAGTACATAAATTATCCTTATTTAAAATTTTACAGTTACGTTTGTGTCTTGATAAAGTTTCTTTACAAGAGAAATCTTTCTTACAACATGGACAAATTATAGTCTTTATATTTGGGTTAACAGAGGTAATAACTTTGCAGTTTTCTTCAACATACCCATTTTCAGATTTCTGTACATTACTTTCACCCTGATTAGAATCATTTGCACCCCCAAACTTAATGTTAGAACATTCTGAATAATTTTTAAGAATAGAAAACTTGTTAAAATGAAAATATGGATGGTAAGAATTAAAATTTGCACAAGAACCAACAACTGATGGGCAAGTATTGGAATTGGTGACAAGCTGAGTAGATGAAACAGAGCCTCAAAAGCCAGTAGGCTGAGAAGTGACTAACGACATAAAAGAAAATTTAGATACAGATATAGTAGCCTTCTGCAAATCTGAATCAGAGCAAACAAATGAACCCTTAAAAACTGGAAAATTCGACATGGAAAGTACAAGAATTGAAACTGATACCAAGATGAGAGATGATGATGAATTGAATTGGAATCCGAAGAGCCTGCAGGTTGAGAATTAGACACTGAATTTCCAGGAAGTTCAGAAATAGCTGCAGTATCAGGAAGTTGAGATCCAGTAGAATTTAAAACACCTGATGTAGTGTGGACAGTACATTCGAGAGCTGGAAAATCCAATACATCCAAAACACTGAAACACTGGAACTGCTATCCAAAATCGTACTAGAAAATCCATGTTTTAAAACATCTGAGTAAAGTGGCTTAGGAGGTGGATCCAAAAAATTTACACTAGTGCCAAGTGAATATTCAAGAAGTGGAAAATCTGATAAACTCGGAAATACTGGGATTAGTATTCAAAACAGAGCTAGTAAAACAATCATGCTTTAAAACATCTGAATAAAGCGGTTTAGAAGAAGAAAAAAATATGGCACAAAAAATCTCTAGAATTACAAACCCGAACACTGGAAACTAAAGAACGTTTCACAACATCTGAAAAGAGTGGTTTGGAAACAGAAGCACCAAGATTACTACCCAAATGAGTACTCAGAACAGAAGGAATACTGGTTAATGCTGGGAAACTGCTAAGGGATGTAGAACAAAATGGTGCACTTACCTCTGCAACAGTCAAACTTATCCTGATATCTTTTACAAAAAATTTTCCCCAGCTGCTGATTACCTCTCCGATTTAGGTGTAAACCGTCTCTGGATAAACAAGTACTCCAAGAATAGTCAAAAGAGCTGCAAAAGAAAAACCCATCTTTACCTTCGTATGTTGCGAGAAATCTTGAATTTATGTTTAGTATCTTCCTATTAAGTTCTTGTAGGTGATACGTGTTACAATCTCGATATAAATCCGGGCATCGTGGGAGAACACCTGAAAACAGAATGACCTTCGGGTTTAATCGTTCAATTCCCTTATATAGACAACCATATTTACGATGAATTTCATCTAAATCGTCATTTGAATTATTGGTACCAACGTGGACAAAAAACTAAATGAAAATGGTTGTTCATAAAGGCAATCTCACGTGTCAACCTTTCAATCCTAGCTCCTGGAAAGCAACGAAAATCAACTTCGTAATCAGGTAAATTCGCAGACAAATATTCTTGTAAATATTTAATCATAGAATCCCCGATTATGAGTATTTTCATCTTTTCAGATTGCTTAGACAAACACATAACTAAAATAAGATAATTAAAACACAAAATATCAGCGCTAATACTACGTACCTTGCTACCCACAGCAGCACGTGCAAGCAAAATGGCGAAAACGTGTATTGCTTACTTCCAAAAATTACATTTGGCTTCATTTTTCAATTTTGGCGCAAATTACGGTAACCTCTTAGTGTTGCCATCGGTCACGTGAGACACGCTAACTTCCGTAAACTCTCAGCGTTTGTCGTCGCATATATCTGCAAACCTCAAGCTGGAGGCAGTGTCTAAACATAGCTCCGAAATTTTTTAAATAACTGTTTCAGTAAATATTTTCAACTCTCTAAAAAAGTTTAATGCACCTTTCCTATGCAATGTCTCATTCATCAAATTGAAAAAGGAAACTTCGCTTCATCGAAACTTCAGGTGTTTTGTTAGCTGTTCACTATCAACACGAGAAATCCAAAAGAGGCCCTGACACGGAATATTCAGATAAGTAACATTCTGTTCTCTATACAATATATGTTTCTCTATCACTAGAGTGCAATTAAATTTTTTTATTTATTATTTTTTCATAAGATTCTAGCATTATACAATAGTTAGTAATAGTAGCAAGTCATGTGGTTCTTTTCTTCGTAACTATTCCGTAGAGACGCCACATTCCTTATCAGTAGTCCGTTTTCTTATCAGCAATTCACACCCTTCGGAGGCCCCCCTCTTTCGTGCTTAGGAATTTCTTGAGAGGGAAAAAATGGGGATCTCTTGACCAACGATGAGTATAGATTGTGTGATTTGTTTGTTAAGATCTAAGACTTTTTTTTTTTTTTTCAGGTTAGGTCTCAAACTTAGAATTATGAGCAAATAAAAAAAACAGTGTGACGGAATTTGTTAAAGTTGTACTATAATAAATTACAATGGTTAAATTAATAAATTAATTTTATATTTAACTAATATTTAAGAAAAATAAACTGTAATTTATTTTTGCTGAAATGCTCTCACACTGTGTATGGATTTATGATTTTGTCAATTACTGTTTTTATGAAATATACATGAATTTTTTTTGGGAACGGTAATATTTAATGTTGTAATCTCATTCATTACATTACATTTTTTTTTTTTTTTTTTAACTTAGCTAAAGTTTGCTTCTTAAAGACACGAATTTTTGCAGATGAAACTTAAACTACACTCATGGACACAATCGTATTTTAGGGTATTTTCTACTTCTTTTCCTTTTCTTTCTATAGGCCCTTTTTTTTCCCCTCTATTATTTTTGGGCCATTTAATTTAAATTTTATTTTGTCCCATCTTTTCTTTCTGGCCTTTTGAACTCGTACAAAATGTACGAAGTTCCTTTTTACTCTCCTCAAATACGAAATTGCCCCTCTTTCTATATACCTTTCCTTCGCACCTATGCTTGATTTTTCGCCCATCGGTGCAGAAAGACTTAGCGGGTGCAAAACAAGACATCTGTCTACTTTGTCTGTCTTGGCGAATAGTATGGGTTACCAGATCCTATCATTTATCGCCGCTCTTGGCGATATTTTTTTGTTTAAAATTCCGGGTGGGCTATACTGAAGTTGTGCCGAGCACTCCCACAATAGATTTTTGGAGAAATATGCGAGGAAAATGGCAAACACTTTGCTGTTCAAATCTCGAATAGGTACACTGGTACACTTATAGTGAAAATTATTCAACATGTAAAAAAAGTACCAACACTTGGTTCAGACTGCTGAAAAGGATATAAAACACAACAACATGAAGGAACTTGTTACAGTCACTTTACTGTGAACCTTAAGTACAATTTTCTAGATCCAAAAATGGGTGTTTACACCCAAAATGTTTAAAGAATGTTGGTTTAACCAAATAGCGTAATATAAACAGCGGGGCATTGCTGGACATCACCTTGAATCGTATCTTTCAGAATTTATGTCGAGAAAGTGCCATTGGAACAAATGATGTTTTTGATGAACTGTTAAAAGCACTTTCGAAACTGTGGCTTTGTCATAATGATTATTAATAATATTCTTAGGAAACGATATATGAGTATTATTGTTATTATTGTATAGTGTTTATTTTTATCATTGTGCTTCATGAGTTGGCGAGATATCTCGGTTGATTAGCAATTCAATCATGGGTATCTTTTTTTTTTTTTTTTTTTTTTTAACTTGCTGTGAGATCTGCTTTCACACCTGGGAATTGAAACTAAATTTCAGTTCCTCATAGCAATAAAATTATAAAAGTAATATATCTACTCAGAAAGAGAAGAAAACAAAATTGGGTACTCCTCTGTTATCAGGACCAAATTCAGAAATGTATGTATGTGTTCATGTACACATGTATATAGAGGCATAATGTGCATATATAGTGTGTATACGCACACACATATAATCACACGTGCATACATACATACATATATTTCTGAATCCAGTCCAATAACAGAAGTGTCCAAAATTAAGTATTAAAAATACATTATCAACATAATCTAACATATAAATGAATAAAGGATTCTATCACACTTTCTACTATATTTTTCAGGGAAAGTTATTTAATTAATATGCATTTTATTGCAGAAATAATTATTTTCAAGTAAGGTAAACTGTTATTAGTAAATTTATCACTTTAGCAACCCACTGGGTGCACCACAGCTCACTTCTTCCACTAGCCTGGAAGAAATCCAACCCTGGTCCCTCGCCAACAGAACTGCATTAATAAAAGCATAATCTTGCCATTTTATAATATGCATGTTAAATGTAATGCTTGTTAAAGTTCTAGTATTTTGGCTGCTTTTTATATCATATAAGTATATGATATTATATAAAATATATATATGAGTAAAATATAAATTTTATATATGATATAAAAATATAATATTTTGGCTGTAATGTCTAACTGAATTCTTTGATCAGACACCATCTCAATATCATAGTAGCTCTGTTTATGTATTTATTGAGCAGATGCACAAATTACATATCTTTACATTCATGTCTGTTTCAGGATACTATTTTCAGAGCTGATACTTGCAAAACCCTTTTTTTGGAGGGAGAAATATAATAGTTCATACTCCTGAGAGTTAGAAATACAACCTTCCCAAAATAAATAACATATGCCCTTTATGTACAAAAAAAGAAATGAGTATAAGTAACTTTGTTATGTAACTAGTTTGCTACGTATATCACAGATATATTTCATATTTTTCAACAGTCAAACAAAGCATTTTTATTTCATAGTTAACAATATACAGTTAGTTAAAATCTCTACTTCTTTCAACACAAGATAAACATCAACAAAAACAAAAACAATACTGAAATAATTTAAATTCTTTTAAGCAAACATATAGGATAAAAACAACTACAAAATCTACAAAAATGCAAACAAGTTTTATTACATTACATCAGTTTGGGACACTGCAGTACACAGGCACAGTGTTTCTTCAAACATCGACTTTTCACTAGCTCTTATATGTGTAAGTAATAATAATTTGCACAGTTTTAGAAATTCATTTGGAATCCCAAAATTAAAAATAATAATAATAATAATAATAATAATAATGATCTGAAAATAAACCAGATTAGAAAGATATAAGCTGAGTATATATATACATATATATATAGACAAAAAGTAAGAGATTTTCTACATTTTTAATTTCACATTTTTTCAATTCTAATCTCAGATTATGTGAAAAATATATTAATTATTTACTTTATTCCAATTTAGGATTTTCTTCATTTGGATGTGTTTTAATATTTTTCACTACGGGATTGCATTTTTGTCTTCTGAGTAAGTTTTAAATTCGTGCTTTTGGTTTATTTTTTGTATTTCTACTTTATTTCAAATTTAAATTCAGTAAAAAATTTCTAATTTAATTCTTTTCCTTGATTTAACCCTGGAATTCTGATGCTGCATCAGGGAAGAATATGAAATACTTTAGAATAGTTCATCAGCTATTTTTAGCTACAGAAATGCAGTGGTCTTCAAGTAGAAGGGGATTATAATTAAATCTGATATATCCTTCTCATAATAACCTTATATCAGATTTGATTTAATTCTTCCTCTTTTGCATTTTTTTCTGATTTCTCTAATTTATAGGTTTTAGTTTAACATTTTTTAATTCTTATTTTGCATATTTATATGATATTTTGAAATTTATTGGTAGTGAATTTCACTTCTATTGGGTCTTTGTGTAAAATTGGTTCTAATTTCTTACTTTTTGTCTATATTGATCAATTTTCAGCAGCATATTGCATGGAAATAATTGGATTAATTATGTTTTTAAATAAAAAAAAAATTGTGATGCTGTAATATATATAGATAGGTTTGGCATGCATAAGAAGTGCATATATTAAAAAAGTATGCATTAGTTATTTAAAGAATAAAAGCCCATTCTCATTAAAATATTCCTTTTTTTAATAGAAATTTTATATACAGAGTATTTCCTTATAATTTCTTCTCTTTTCTTTCTTTTTTTTTTAACCTGCATGAGCTACAATTATGATTTTTTTCAAGTAAAAAAATATATCAAGATGAAATTATGTATTGCAATTACAATTCCTTTTGAGTCAAATCCCAAAAAGTTTTAAGTTTTAAAACTTTTAATAAAAATATATAACATAATCACATAGCAGTGTCATTATGACAGAAAGTAATATCAGATGGACATGATGATGCAGCATTTTTTAACATTACTTTCAACATTATTTGGCAGCAAAAATTTTATATGCTGCTCAGGCATACAAACTGAAATTTGACAAAGCTTTTTCTTTTTTCCCTCAGGGAGAATTATGACTAGTATATTTTTCCAACACTTAAATCTTACAATACAGTTTGTGCAATTATTTTTGTTATACATTCATATTACAAAGCATTAATTGAGTAAAATAAAAATCAGTAGATGTTCATAAATACAGAAAGTAAAATCTTATAAAATGTTCCATATTTGAAATTGTGAAGTTTGAAGTTTCTGAAATAAGGTATAAATACCAGTAAGTAGATAAATAAGATGCATGGAAAGTATGCCATTTAGAAAATAATTTACTGACAATATTTTTCTTTTGTTAATGTATAATTTTATTATACAATAACAAATTTCATTATTTAAGTTATTGAATAATTAAAATGCTCAATGCAGTTTGAAAGACTAAGATTTTTGTCTCTCTAAATGTAATGAGCTTGTTAATTATCATTAGCATTAATGAAAGCATAATTTTGCCATTTTATAATATGCACGTTAAATGTAATGCTTGTTAAAGTTATAACATTTTGGCTGTTTTTGCATTTTATGTAGAAGTAAAATTGTAGTATCAAGATGATGTAATATTGCTAAAGCTAGCTACTAATACAGTAATATTGTCCATAGACCCATTTTTATGAGCTTGCAATGCTAAACTTCTTGCTCCTTTATATAGATCACTCTGAATATGATCTTTGACAAAAGCAACTGCATCTTCATTTGAAAAAGTGTCCCATAAACCATCTGTAGCTAAAATCATAAACTGAGGATTCAAGTCTGCTAAATCAAAAGTTAAAATATCTGGCCTTGCAATAACCAGATTTCTGTCTTTTAAAGGAAAATCACCCAACGCTCTTGATGTAGCTAAGATTCCAGCCACTCGCCATACACCATTAAAGGAAATGAATCCTCCTGCTTCTCTGATGCGACGTCTTTCTTTTAACTGGAAAAATTTCAATAGAATTAAGCATCTCAAATTTATTTTAAATACTACAATAAAATTACAAAAATAAGCAAAATAAATCAGTAATATAGACAATAATTGGCAAAATAATAATAAACAATAATGAGTTAGACTAAAGACTTGAGTATATTACCATTTTAAAATGCTAATATAATTACCACAATAATAATATAATAAAAAAATATTAAAAAAATTAAATAAATAAAAAAAAAACCCTCATAACAAAATAACACTATTCAGTGAAGTTAATAAGTCAACTAAGGAAAATATGATAATTCAAACTATATATGTGTCAAAAAATAGAAAATCTAAAACAATTCTTCACAATGTGATGGTTGGTTATTTACTTATGACATATTCATTTTCGATTTTCAAATTAAACAGTGCAGTTAAATTCAGAAATCTGCATGATTTGCAAAAGTGTATTCCAATTGTAAAATCAGATATGATAATTTGATTAGTTAAAAGGGGGGGGATCAAAGTTTAGAATGGAAACAATGTGTATTTATTTCTATGGACATGATTTATTCATGAATAAATCTACATTTCCTTTTTTCAATATAAATGTCAAGCACATACTTGGTAAGGGAAAGCTACCGACCAAGCCCTGCCGGAAGAACAGTTAAGCCAGCAATCTTTCGCTGAAAGGAAAAAATCTGGCAACAAGAAGAAGCGTGCTTGATGTGAGAAGGATGGCATGCTCGCGTGAAAAAACAGTCTATCTGAAAGGAGAGAGGAAAAAATCTGGCAACGAGAAGAAGAAACGTGCTTGATGCGAGAAGGAACGGCATGCTCGTGAGAAAAAATTTGAAATTAGTTTGGCTGTATTCCGAGAGTAGTTGAGCTTTTTTTTTTTTTTTTTTTTTTTTTGTTAAGAACTGAGAGAGATGCAATGTATTACTTGTGCGTTTGATGTAAATGTGAATAAAAGCAATACTTTGTGAAAAGTTAAACTGTATATTACAAAATTAAAATATAGCTCATGTTATTGTTAAACCTGCATAAGTGTCCCAGTTTATTTCCTGCAATAGAGTTGACTAATAACATTCATAAGTGGATGGAAACGAACCGACAAAGATGAATTGATCAAGGATCGATTATGACAGTGGTGGCAGCTGGTCGGATGTATATTTGTCGACTCGGAAAAAGCTCAAGTGAATTCCTTACAAATGCTGCGAAGCTTATTAAGTGGAATAGTTATCTTCTACCGGGTTCTCTCGTTAAGTCTATTATTTATGATTTTGTGTTTATGAAAAATTGTGCTGTTAATGTAAGGGTACACTTTGACAAGTATTTTATAACACAAAAAATTATCAGTGTGATTATCATATGAGACTTGAATTACCTTGCAAGTGCATTTATCTTTTATTATATGAGTGAATGATCATTAATTTAAGTAATGCTTGTGTTTTATTTATGAGATATGATTGCATTAATTTTCAAATGCTTATATATAAACATACATTGTTTTTTTTTTATTGAGTATTTGGATGTTGTGCATATTTAATGCAGATACTATGTGTTTATGATTCAACAGAAGTTAAGGATTTAACTTGAATGTATAATTTTATGTAAGGAAATTTAGTTTTAATTTTCTGTTATTTTAATTAAGTTGAACATAAAGTCACATAAGGTCATTTTTGGCCAAATCTAGAAAGGCTGATCTAGTTGCCCTTGCACAAGAGTTTGGTGTTGAAGTGTTGCCTACATTTAGAATTTTGGACTTGAGGGAAAAAATTCTTGCTAGTGAAAGCTATGAGGAGCAGGTAGCAAAGGATCTTCCCATTGAGAAGTATAAGGTAGATTGTCAGGATCGTTACTTGAATAGGAGTACTACACCTGAACAGGGGGAGAATGGGAAAGAAAGATCAGTAGAAGAGTTAACGAGGACAATCAGATTATTGACAGTAAAAGTTCCAAGTAGAGCTGATGGCTGGGACTATTTCTTCTCCAGTTTAGAAAGAGCTTATGTCAATGAAAGAGTTCCTGATGAGTATAAGGCCAAAATTTTGATTTACCTTTTGGGAGACAAAGAGGCAAATTTATTAACATTGATAAGCGAGGACAAGTATGGGAATTATGAGGAAATAAAGGAAACTGTGTTGAAAGAATTTAAACCTTCACCTCAGGCATGCCTGGAGAATTTCAGAAAAGACCTTTGGCCAGTTTTCTACTAGAGTTACTACAATGTGGGAAAATTATGTGAAATCAAGGGGGTGACAGACTTAATCAGTTGGTGGTAGCGGACAAAATCTACCAGACCCTTGATACGGAAACTGCAGTACACATAGGTATAAGGCAGGGAGACTCGTGGTTCAAGCCAAGAGAGCTTGGAAAGGAGTGTGACATATTCTTTGCGGCTAAAGGGAAGTCCTACAACGTACGTAGGGAAGCTTGTGAAACTAAGATTTTAAATCAGGCAGTAGGTGAGAAACCTAAGGTCGAAGAGAGACGAGGCAGTCGGCATGGGTCAGAAACCATAGGGAAAAACACAGGGAACGTTAAAGGTTTAACATGTTTTGTATGTGGTTCAGCTTCACATTTTAAAAGGCACTGTCCTCAGATTAAAGGTTCTAGGCAGTATAACAGAAATGAGGAAAAGGATAAAGCCAGGGTAAACTGAGTAAAGAAAGGTCAGGATAATGATATCCTAGAGGACAAAGTTGTGGTAGCTCGTGTGGATCCTTTGAGGAAGTCAGGGGATGTAAACAACTATAAGCTGTGTAAGTTGAAAAGGGTTCCTATTAGTGTGAATGGAACAATAGGGAAGGCCCTCGTTGATTCAGGAACAGAAATTACGGTGGTTAAGAAAGAGTTAACCAAAAGTCTCCAACTGAAGGAAGGATCGAGTATATATTTGAAAGGTATATTTGGTCCAGCTGTTAAATGCCCTTTGGTAAGCATTCCACTGAGTATTACTGTAGGAGAAAGTGCCAATGTTACACATCAAGAGATTTTGTGTGCAGTTGCAGAATCGCTGGCAGAGGATGTGTTGCTTCCTCCGGAAGTATTCACCATGTTAGGAGGTCGGTTATATGACACAGGTGAAGGGGTGGAAAACTTACCTGAAGAAACCACAAACATCCCAGAGGTTAGGAGAAAGGAAAAGTCTGTGAAGGTAAACACAGGGAAACTAGAAGGAAACACTAGTGTGGGAAGGAATCTCAATGAGAAAGGAAAGGTGGAATCAAGTGAAAGCCAAGAACCTCAGCCAGGAAGACTATGTACAGCGGATGTATTTAGAAGAGAGCAGGAGACTTGTGAATCTCTGGTAGGAGCATGGGAGAATGCTCAGAAAGGAAAGGGGAATTATTATACAGTGGATAACTTTCTCTTTCATAAGGACAAAATTCTTGGGGAAAGTGTGGGGCAATTAGTTGTACCTAAGAGTCGAAGGGAGGAAGTCTTGCAGTTAGCACATTGCTCGGTGTTTAGTGGCCACATGGGGGTAAAGAAAACTGTGGAGAGAGAATTAGATACTCTTTCTTATTGGGAAGGTCTGAGGTTAGACGTTCAGAAATTTTGCGAGGCATGTAAAGAGTGCCAGTTGACTAGACCAATTAAAACTGTTGATAGGACACCAATCACCCCAGTAACGAGGCCAGATCTGCCCTTCCAAATTGTAAACATTGATGTGATAGGTCCGATTGATCCTCCCAGTTCTAAGGGTCATAAGTATATATTATGCTTAGTTGATCAGCATACCAGATGGGCAGAAGCAATACCTCTAACTAGCCTCTCCGCCAAGTCGACTTGTGAGGAGTTATTACATATTTTTTCAAGAACGGGTATTCCAAATGTAATTGCATGTGACAATGGAACAAATTTTAAAGCAGATTTGACTCAAGAATTTGAGAGACGAATAGGGGCCAGTCCTAAGTTTTCGACCCCTGGATATCCTCAAGCTAATGGATTAGTTGAACGGTGGTACTTTAAAAAGAATGTTGCATCATGGAGAAGAAGGTAGAGGGTGGCATTTGCAAATTCCTTATGTGTTTGTGGGCCTATAGAGAAGTACCCAACTCAACAACTAGGGGTGGCTCCATTTCAACTCATGTACGGCAGGACACCTCAGGGACCTCTGTCGATATTAAAATCATCATGGACAGGGAAACATGAAAATTTACAATTAGATGCAACTCCTGTTTATACATATTTACAAAATCTTGAGAAGGCAGCGGAGCAGGCAAAGCTCACAGCTAAAATTCAACAAGAGAGGACAGCACACTATCATAATTTAAGGTCTACCATAAAACATTTAAGGTGGGAGATAAGGTGATAGTCTTGATTCCCGATTCTAATAACTTGAAATAACAAGCTTTATGCTAGGTGGCAGGGTCCTGCAAATATATTGGAACAGAGAAGTTCTCACTCATTTGTAGTACAAATGCCCGATGGGACCAAAAGACATGTTCATCAGAATAAGATTCCCAAGCAGTAAATGTTATCTTGGAGGGGAAGAAGAGTTTGGGGAAATTGAATCTATACCTGTCAACAAGGGAGAAAAGAGTTTTTCTGAATCTCTGGAAGGATTAGAAATGTCTAATTTAGATTCAGTCCAAAGGAGTAAACTTTTAGGGCTACTGAGGAAATATCAAACATTATTTACACGTCCAGTGCAACCAGCACGAGTAGGTACACACAAGATCGAACTTATTCCTACTGCTATTAGGAAGAAACCCCACTGCTATGGAATACCCATGGCATACCGCAAAGCAGTAGATGAGCAGATACGTGAGTTGCTAGAATTAGGATTAATTGAACCTTCTGAGTCAGAAATTGCTCATCCTATAGTTTGTGTGGCGAAAAAAGATGCTACAGTTAGAATGTGTATAGATTTTAGATCATTGAATGCTGTAACGAAAACTCCAACATTTCCCATGAAAGACATGCAGGAATTGATTTTTGTGGCGGGTGCAGCAAACTGGCTGACAAGCATCGACCTTCGAAAAGGGTATTGGCAAATCCGAATGGATGAA